ATTTCAAAATCAAGCTATACCTTAACACTAACAATTTAAGTTCTGTAAGATTTATGCCATGACCTGAAAACATAAAAATGTGTGTATTGATAAATAGCATTTGATCTTGTCATCTACTAAACTGTAAAAGGCCATCTGATCCCTTGAGAGATTCTTTAGTAATCATTACTAAAATTATATATATATATATATATTATGGAATATGTTATTTTGATATATGTATACATTGTGAAATTAAATCAGGCTAAATCACATGCTATCAATCGTATTTTATTAATCTACTTATAATTGTGTATGTTCATTTGTATACAATGTTATTTATATTCATATTTCACCAACTTACCTTTTTAAAATTTTTTTTAGTGGTTCTGAGGTTTGAACTCAGGGCCTCACAGCTTTCTCAGGAGGCAATGACTAGCTGAGTATATCTCCAAAGCCTTTTTTTAATTTTTTGGGTCCGGTCGTGGTGCCTGAACTCTGGGCCTGGGTGCTGTCCCTCAGCTCTTCAGCTCAAGGCTAGCGCTCTACCACTTGAGCTACAGCGCCACTTCCTGCTTTTTTTTTTCCTGCTTATGTGGTGTTGAGGAATCAAACCCAGGGCCTCATGCATGCAAGGCAAGCACTCTACCACTGAGCCACCTTCCCAGCTCTCCAAACCTTTTGTTCCATAGTTATTTTCTTTTGTTTACTGACTGGTTCTGAGGGCAAAACTTGATGATTTCACTTGGCTTACTTTCTCACAGCTGGCCTACCACTTTAAGCACACCTCTACTTTAGCTTCTTGCTAGTTACTTGGGCATGGAGTCTCTCAGATTTTTCTGCCTGGACTGGCTTCTGATGGTGCTCTTCTAGATCACAGCTGCCTGAGGAAACTCAGTTGGTTATTTTTTTAGATAAGGGTTTACTTCCTGCCCAGATACTTGCCTGGATTGTACTCCCTCCCCCAAATGGGATAGCAGGCATATACTAAAATGCTCTGTTAACATGCAATCTCATCAACATTTCTGCCTAGGCTGACCTGGAGCCATGATCCTCCCAACTTCAGCCTCCATGTAGCTAGGGTGACAGGTATGCACTCTTGTGCCCACGTATTGGTTGAGAAGGAGTCTCACATATATGACTTGGCTAGTCTTCAACTTCAGCCTTGATCTCAGCCTGACAAGTAGCCAGGATTGTATTTGTAAGCCACTTTCATGTGACTATTATTTTGTGTGTGGGTGTGGGGAAGACATTAAGAATCTATTCGCACTTTTGAAATATATATTATTTGGTGCTGTGGCTGACGTACAGTGCAATGAGTCCCTAATACTCCAGTCTCACTAAACATTAAGACTTCGATCAGCACTTTCCCTTAACCCCTTCCCCTTGGCTTTCCCTTTCCATTCTCTGTCTGTAAAATTAACTTGGCTTTTTGGATCCCACATAGCATTTTGTAGTATTTTCCTTTCTTTGCATCACCTTCTTTACTTAGTATAATTTCCTCCAGGCTTATCCATAAGTGAGGAAGAATTTCATTCTTTAGTAAAGCTGAATAATTAGCCTATCATGTGTGCATTAGCCTATCATGTGTGT